TCTCATTGTTTATCATGTCCTCATACACATCAGCAGAACGGCGCTGTTGAGCGCAAGCATCGACATGTAGTTGAGACCGGACTCACACTCCTGGCTCACGCTTCTGTACCTTTTCGTTTTTGGAGCGACGCTTTTGCTACAGCATGTTTCCTTATTAACCGACTACCTACGCGTGTCCTTAATATGAAAACTCCTATTGAGCTCCTTCTCCATGAAACTCCTGACTATACCTTCTTTAAGGTGTTCGGGTGTGCCTGCTGGCCCCATCTTCGTCCATATAATCATAGAAAGCTTGAATTTCGATCTAAGAAATGTGTGTTTCTAGGTTATAGTTCTCTTCACAAAGGCTACAAGTGCCTTCATGTGCCAACAAATCGTGTCTACATATCCCGTGATGTTGTCTTTGATGAGAACGTTTTTCCTTTTTCCGCCATGCCGCAGCAACCCGCCACACCTCCATCTATGCATTCATCTCCTCTTATGCTTGGCCAATTTGAAGATGTTGCATATTCGCCTGTGTTGTTACCTAATCATGGTGCAGGTATTGGACGTGGTGCTCGCCTGGAACTACTTTCGGATGCAACTCCTGTGACGCATGTTGATCGGTCGGTGCACGTGCCTGCACCAACTCCCGTCGTCGACCCCGTCTCTAGAGCCACGCCCGCCCATGCCACTGGACCGACGCTGGCCTCCGTACCTGGGCCGGTGTTGGCCGAGGTACCGCCCACATCAGCCGAGGCACGACCCACCACACCAGCCGAGGCGCGGCCCCCATCCCCGACGGTCTCACCTGGGCGACTTGAGCGGTCCTTGCCACCGTCTCCACGCCCGGCCTCGCCTCCGTCATCGTCGCCGTCGCCCGGCCGTGTGTCCCTGCCGCCCCTCTCACCTGGGTCGGCTGGGCCCATCATCGCCTCGCCTGGGTCTTCGTCTGGGCCCCCGTCGCCTGACCCCCCGTCGTCATCTCTAGTGTCGGCGCCGCTGGCTCCTGTTCCCGTTGCCCCGCAACGTCTGCATACTCGCAGCCGCAGCGGTATTGTTCAACCCAAGCAGCGTCATGATGGTACTGTCACATATTTGGTTGCCTATCTTGCTCATTTTGTTGCAGATCCCAATGATGAACCACGCAACTATGAGGCCGCTATGAGTATTCCTCACTGGC